TAGGTATTGAGTCCTCCTGGGTCTATAGCTATTGAGTCCTCCTGGGTCTATCGGTATTGAGATCTCCTGGGTCTATCAGTATTGAGTCCTCCTGGGACTATCAGTATTGAGACCTCCTGGGTCTAACAGTATTGAGTCCTCCTAGGTCTATCGGTATTGAGACCTCCTGGGTCTATCGGTATTGAGTCCTCCTGGGTCTATCGGTATTGAGTCCTCCTGGGTCTAACGGTATTGAGTCCTCCTGGGGTCTATCGGTATTGAGACCTCCTGGGTCTATCGGTATTGAGTCCTCCTAGGTGTATCGGTATTGAGTCCTCCTGGGTCTATAGGTATTGAGTCCTCCTGGGTCTATCGGTATTGAGACCTCCTGGGTCTATCGGTATTGAGTCCTCATGGGTCTATCGGTATTGAGTCCTCCTGGGTCTATCGGTATTGAGTCCTCCTGGGTCTATCGGTATTGAGTCCTCCTGGGTCTATCGTTATTGAGACCTCCTGGGTCTATCGGTATTGAGTCCTCCTGGGTCTATCGGTATTGAGTCCTCCTGGGTCTATCGGTATCGAGTCCTCCTGGGTCTATCGGTATCGAGTCCTCCTGGGTCTATCGGTATTGAATCCTCCTGGGTCTATCAGTATTGAGACCTCCTGGGTCTATCGGTATTGAGTCCTCCTGGGTCTATCGGTATTGAGTCCTCCTGGGTCTATCGGTATTGAGTCCTCCTGGGTCTATCGGTATTGAGTCCTCCTGGGTCTATCGTATTGAGTGCTCCTGGGTCTATCAGTATTGAGTCCTCCTGGGTCTATCGGTATTGAGTCCTCCTGGGTTTATCGGTATTGAGTCCTCCTGGGTCTATCGGTAATGAGACCTCCTAGGTCTATCGGTATTGAGTCCTCCTGGGTTTGTCGGTATTGAGTCTTCCTGGGTCTATCAGCAATGAGACCTCCTAGGTCTATCAGTATTGAGTCCTCCTGGGTCTATCGGTATTGAGGTCTCCTGGGTCTATCGTTATTGAGTCCTCCTGGGTCTATCTGTATTGAGTCCCTGGATCTATCGGTATTGAGTCCTCCTGGATCTATCGGTATTGAGTCCTCCTGGATCTATCGGTATTGAGTCCTCCTGGGTTTATCGGTATTGAGTCCTCCTGGATCTATCGGTATTGAGTCCTCCTGGGTCTATCGGTATTGAGTCCTCCTGGGTCTATCGGTATTGAGTCCTCCTGTAACTATCAGTAATGAGTCCTCCTGGGTCTATCGGTATTGAGTCCTCCTAGGTCTATAGGTATTGAGACCTCCTGGGTCTGTCAGTATTGAGTCCTCCTGGATCTATCAGTATTGAGTCCTCCTGGGTTTATCAGTATTGAGTCCTCCTGGATCTATCGGTATTGAGTCCTCCTGGGTCTGTCGGTATTGAGAGTCCTCCTGGGTCTATCAGTATTGAGTCCTCCTGGGTCTATCGGTATTGAGACCTCCTGGGTCTATCGGGTGTTGAGTCCTCTTGGGTCTATCAGTATTGAGTCCTCCTAGGTCTATCAGTATTGAGACCTCCTGGGTCTATCAGTATTGAGTCCTCCTAGGTCTATCGGTATTGAGACCTCCTGGGTCTATCAGTATTTAGTCCTCCTGGGTCTATCAGTATTGAGTCCTCCTAGGTCTATCAGTATTGAGTCCTCCTGGGTCTATCGGTATTGAGTCCTCCTGGGTCTATAGCTATTGAGTCCTCCTGGGTCTATCGGTATTGAGTCCTCCTGGGTCTAACAGTATTGAGTCCTCCTAGGTCTATCGGTATTCAGACCTCCTGGGTCTATCAGTATTGAGTCCTCCTGGGTCTATCAGTATTGAGTCCTCCTGGGTCTATCGGTATTGAGTCCTCCTGGGTCTATCAGTATTGAGTCCTCCTGGGTCTATCAGTATTGAGTCCTCCTGGGTCTATCGGTATTGAGACCTCCTGGGTCTATCAGTAATGAGACCTCCTGGGTCTATCAGTATTGAGTCCTCCTGGGTCTATCGGTATTGAGTCCTCCTGGGTCTATCTGTATTGAGTCCTCCTGGGTCTATCTGTATTGAGTCCTCCTGGGTCTATCGGTATTGAGTCCTCCTGGATCTATCGGTATTGAGACCTCCTGGATCTATCGGTATTGAGTCCTCCTGGGTCTGTCAGTGTTGAGTCCTCCTGGGTCTATCGGTATTGAGTCCTCCTGGGTCTATCGGTATTGAGACCTCCTGGGTCTGTCGGTATTGAGTCCTCCTGGGTCTATCGGTATTGAGTCCTCCTGGGTCTATCGGTATTGAGTCCTCCTGGGTCTATCGGTATTGGGTCCTCCTGGGTCTATCGGTATTGAGTCCTCCTGGGTCTATCGGGTATTGAGTCCTCCTGGGTCTATCGGTATTGAGTCCTCCTGGGTCTATCGGTGTTGAGTCCTCCTGGGTCTGTCGGTATTTAGTCCTCCTGGGTCTGTAGGTATTGAGACCTCCTGGGTCTATCGGTGTTGAGTCCTCCTGGGTCTATCGGTATTGAGTCCTTCTGGGTCTATCGTATTGAGTCCTCCTGGATCTATCAGTATTGAGTCCTCCTGGATCTATCAGTATTGAGTCCTCCTGGGTCTATCGGTATTGAGTCCTCCTGGATCTATCGGTATTGAGTCCTCCTGGATCTATCGGTATTGAGTCCTCCTGGATCTATCGGTATTGAGTCCTCCTGGGGTCTATCGGTATTGAGACCTCCTGGGTCTGTCGGTATTGAGACCTCCTGGGTCTGTCGGTATTGAGTCCTCCTGGGTCTGTCGGTATTGAGTCCTCCTGGGTCTATCGGTACTGAGTCCTCCTGGGTCTATCGGTACTGAGTCCTCCTGGGTCTATTGGTACTGAGTCCTCCTGGGTCTATCGGTATTGAGTCCTCCTGGGTCTATCGGTATTGAGTCCTCCTGGGTCTATCGGTATTCAGTCCTCCTGGGTCTATCGGTGTTGAGTCCTCCTGGGTCTGTCGGTATTTAGTCCTCCTGGGTCTGTAGGTATTGAGTCCTCCTGGGTCTATCGGTGTTGAGACCTCCTGGGTCTATCGGTATTGAGTCCTCTTGGGTCTATCAGTATTGAGTCCTCCTGGATCTATCAGTATTAAGTCCTCCTGGATCTATCGGTATTGAGTCCTCCTGGATCTATCGGTATTGAGACCTCCTGGGTCTATCAGTATTGAGTCCTCCTGGGTCTATCGGTACTGAGTCCTCCTGGGTCTATCGGTATTGAGTCCTCCTGGGTCTATCGGTATTGAGTCCTCCTGGGTCTATCGGTATTGAGTCCTCCTGGGTCTATCGGTATTGAGTCCTCCTGGGTCTATCGGTATTGAGACCTCCTGGGTCTATCGGTATTGAGTCCTCCTGGGTCTATCGGTATTGGGTCCTCCTGGATCTATCGGTATTGAGACCTCCTGGGTCTATCGGTATTGAGTCCTCCTGGGTCTATCGGTATTGAGTCCTCCTGGGTCTATCGGTATTGAGTCCTCCTGGATCTATCGGTATTGAGTCCTCCTGGATCTATCGGTATTGAGTCCTCCTGGGTCTATCAGTATTGAGTCCTCCTGGGTCTATCGGTATTGAGTCCTCCTGGATCTATCGGTATTGAGTCCTCCTGGATCTATCGGTATTGAGTCCTCCTGGGTCTATCAGTATTGAGTCCTCCTGGGTCTATCAGTGTTGAGTCCTCCTGGGTCTATCAGTATTGAGTCCTCCTGGGTTTATCAGTATGGAGTCCTCCTGGGTCTGTTGGTATTGAGTCCTCCTGGGTCTATCAGTATTTGGTCCTCCTGGATCTATCGGTATTGAGTCCTCCTGGATCTATCGGTATTGAGTCCTCCTGGGTCTATCGGTATTGAGTCCTCCTGGATCTATCGGTATTGAGTCCTCCTGGATCTATAGGTATTGAGTCCTCCTAGGTCTATCGGTATTGAGTCCTCCTGGATCTATCGGTATTGAGACCTCCTGGGTCTATCGGTATTGAGTCCTCCTGGGTCTATGGGTATTGAGACCTCCTGGATCTATCAGTGTTGAGTCCTCCTGGGTCTGTTGGTATTGAGTCCTCCTGGGTCTATCAGTGTTGGGTCCTCCTGGATCTATCGGTATTGAGTCCTCCTGGGTCTATCGGTATTGAGACCTCCTGGGTCTATCAGTGTTGGGTCCTCCTGGATCTATCGGTATTGAGTCCTCCTGGATCTATAGGTATTAATGTCACAGTGTAAGGTGAAGTCAGGACTCCTGATCTGCATACTTTTATGTCAGAAGATATTGAAGCCAAAGGATCAGCATGTCAGGTGGGTGACTTGCATTTTTAAAAACAAAATCATGACAGTTGCTCTTTAAAGCTCAACTCCGGCCCAAAACGTTTCTCCTCTATAAATAGAGATTTGCTGGTGACTCCATGTGGTAACTGACATGGCCGGGGATGGCCATCAGATATCTGTCACCAGCTTAAAGGGAAACGGAAGCCAACATGTTTTTGGGGTTATTTGTTAGTTTTGGGTGGTGTAGGGGCGGGATTTACAGGATTTAAATGGCGCCAACAGTATGTGCAGCGCTGTACAACATAGAGGGAGGCAGTGCAGGTGCAATACAATTCAATGCAAGAGGCTAAGAGGTAGAGATGTGCAAGATGGAGAAATTCATTTTGCTTTATTATGGATTTGTTTGTTACAAAATCCTACACATGGCGGCAAACAGCGCTGTTCACACTGAAGCGTCAGCGTCGCGGCAAAACTGACGCCTCATGTCCAGTCAGGAGGAGTTGAAGCCTTCCATTCAAGTCTATGGTGACGCTCCTGAAACGCCTGGCAGGCATTTGCAGAGTGTTAATACCAATAAACTTCATTGTAGGCGTTTGTGGTGCGGTTTTAGTGCTTGGCAAACGCCTCAAAAATGTGCATACGGCGTTTGGGGGGCGTTTGGGGAGCATTTGAGGAGCGTTAAAAACGCCTGTCCAACGCTATAGGGGCGTCTAGCAAGAGTTAGAAGTAAGTCGTGTGAACGACCCCTAACTGATCCCTGGTCATCTCCCTCCTTGACTTCTGCAACTCCCTCCTCATGGCTGACCTTTACATAGGCCACCCCCCCTCCAGTCCATCATGAATGCTGCTGCCAGACTCACCCACCTTATCAACCACTCAGTGTCCTCCACCCCTCTCTGCCAATCCCTCCACTGGCCTCCACTCAGTGTCCTCCACCCCTCTCTGCCAATCCCTCCACTGGCCTCCACTCAGTGTCCTCCAGCCCTCTCTGCCAATCCCTCCACCGGCCTCCACTCAGTGTTCTCCACCCCTCTCTGCCAATCCCTCCACTGGCCTCCATTCAGTGTCCTCCACCCCTCTCTGCCAATCCCTCTACTGGCCTCCATTCAGTGTCCTCCACCCCTCTCTGCCAATCCCTCCACTGACCTCCATTTAGTGTCCTCCACCTCTCTCTGCCAATCCCTCCACTGGCCTCCATTCAGTGTCCTCCACCCCTCTCTGCCAATCCCTCCAATGACCTCCATTTAGTGTCCTCCACCCCTCTCTGCCGATCCCTCCACTGACCTCCATTCAGTGTCTTCCACTCCTCTCTGCCAGTCCCTCCACTGGCCTCCACTCAGTGTCCTCCACCCCTCTTTGCCAATTCCTTCATGGGCCTCCATTCAGTGTCCTCCACCTCTCTCTGCCAATTCCTTCATGGGCCTCCATTCAGTGTCCTCCATCCCTCTCTGCCAATCCCTCCACTGACCTCCACTCAGTGTCTTCTACCCCTCTTTGCCAATCCATCCACTGGCCTCCATTCAGGGTCCTCCACCCCTCTCTGCCAATCCCTCCACTGGCCTCCATTCAGGGTCCTCCACCCCTCTCTGCCAATCCCTCCACTGGCCTCCATTCAGGGTCCTCCTGAATGGAGGCCAGTCAATACTTGGGGTAATATAGTGTATATACGGGGGGGGGTAATCCCTCCTGACAATACTTGGGGTAATATAGTGTATATACGGGGGGGCGGGGACAATACTTGGGGTAATATAGTGTATATAGGGGGGGCGGGGACAATACTTGGGGTAATATAGTGTATATAGGGGGGCGGGGACAATACTTGGGGGAATATAGTGTATATACAGGGGGGGGGCGGGGACAATACTTGGGGCAATATAGTGTATATATGGGGGGGGGGACAATACTTGGGGCAATATAGTGTATATACGGGGGGGGGACAATACTTGGGTAATATAGTGTATATACGGGGGGGGGGGACAATACTTGGGGTAATATAGTGTATATAGGGGGGGGGGCGGGGACAATACTTGGGGGAATATAGTGTATATACAGGGGGGGGCGGGGACAATACTTGGGGCAATATAGTGTATATACGGGGGGGGGGGGACAATACTTGGGTAATATAGTGTATATACGGGGGGGGGGGGACAATACTTGGGGTAATATAGTGTATATACGAGGGGGGGGGACAATACTTGGGGTAATATAGTGTATATACGAGGGGGGGGGACAATACTTTGGGTAATATAGTGTATATAGGGGGGGCGGGGACAATACTTGGGGTAATATAGTGTATATAGGGGGGGCGGGGACAATACTTGGGGTAATATAGTGTATATAGGGGGGGGGGACAATACTTGGGGTAATATAGTGTATATACGGGGGGGGGGGGACAATACTTGGGGTAATATAGTGTATATACAGGGGGGGGCGGGGACAATACTTGGGGTAATATAGTGTATATAGGGGGGGCGGGGACAATACTTGGGGTAATATAGTGTATATAGGGGGGGGGGACAATACTTGGGGTAATATAGTGTATATAGGGGGGGCGGGGGACAAAACTTGGGGCAATATAGTGTATATACGGGGGGGGCGGGGACAATACTTGGGGTAATATAGTGTATATGGGGGGGCGGGGACAATACTTGGGGTAATATAGTGTATATAGGGGGGGGACAATACTTGGGGTAATATAGTGTATATAGGGGGGCGGGGACAATACTTGGGGTAATATAGTGTATATATACAGGGGGGGCGGGGACAATACTTGGGCAATATAGTGTATATACTTGGGGTAATATAGTGGGGGGGGGGGACAATACTTGGGGCAATATAGTGTATATATGGGGGGGGGGGACAATACTTGGGGCAATATAGTGTATATATGGGGGGGGGGACAATACTTGGGGTAATATAGTGTATATAGGGGGGGGGGGGGACAATACTTGGGGTAATATAGTGTATATAGGGGGGGCGGGGACAATACTTGGGGCAATATAGTGTATATAGGGGGGGCGGGGACAATACTTGGGGTAATATAGTGTATATGGGGGGGCGGGGACAATACTTGGGGTAATATAGTGTATATAGGGGGGGGGGGACAATACTTGGGGTAATATAGTGTATATAGGGGGGGGGCGGGGACAATACTTGGGGTAATATAGTGTATATAGGGGGGGGGGGGGACAATACTTGGGGTAATATAGTGTATATAGGGGGGGCGGGGACAATACTTGGGGTAATATAGTGTATATAGGGGGGGCGGGGACAATACTTGGGGTAATATAGTGTATATAGGGGGGGGGGGGACAATACTTGGGGTAATATAGTGTATATACAGGGGGGGGCGGGGACAATACTTGGGGCAATATAGTGTATATACGGGGGGGACAATACTTGGGGCAATATAGTGTATATATGGGGGGAGGGGACAATACTTGGGGCAATATAGTGTATATAGGGGGGGGACAATACTTGGGGTAATATAGTGTATATAGGGGGGGCGGGGACAATACTTGGGGCAATATAGTGTATATAGGGGGGGCGGGGACAATACTTGGGGTAATATAGTGTATATGGGGGGGGGGCGGGGACAATACTTGGGGTAATATAGTGTATATAGGGGGGGGGGACAATACTTGGGGTAATATAGTGTATATAGGGGGGGGGCGGGGACAATACTTGGGGTAATATAGTGTATATAGGGGGGGGGGGGGGGGACAATACTTGGGGTAATATAGTGTATATAGGGGGGGGCGGGGACAATACTTGGGGTAAATATAGTGTATATAGGGGGGGCGGGGACAATACTTGGGGTAATATAGTGTATATAGGGGGGGCGGGGACAATACTTGGGGTAATATAGTGTATATAGAGGGGGGCGGGGACAATACTTGGGGTAATATAGTGTATATACAGGGGGCGGGGACAATACTTGGGGTAATATAGTGTATATACAGGGGGCGGGGACAATACTTGGGGTAATATAGTGTATATAGGGGGGGCGGGGACAATACTTGGGGCAATATAGTGTATATAAAACATCTAAGGATAACAAATGCTGTGTTGTCACCCCAGGACAGGAAATGTGGTATTTGTAGGATCACCAGGTGAAAATAAAGCCCTAAAAAAGGAAAACTAATGCAGCCAGCACATGTGAGGACAGGTTTTCTGCATTCCATGATGGGTTCAGATAAAGTCTCATTTTCCTGGTCCGGACCCGCTGAGCTGTGACATCTTAGGATAGAAAAGTCGTCCCAAACAAGACGATAAACAGTGAACTTTGCACATGCCGAACAGTAACATTGACGGGGAGGCCGGAGGCGGGTGGAGGAGGTTTGGGGTCACATGATCGATGTCATATATAACTCTTCATGTAAGGAAGGACGTTTCTGATGCGCTGGGATCACCGGAGTAACGCAACACTTCGCCTCACCCACCAGACACTAAATAAGTCATCCTCGTGTCTTGAGCGAGATTCGATTACCACAACGAGTCACATTGTTTCCTCCACACCTATCTTTACTGTGTATTTGTATTTATTTGGGGTTCGTCTAGATCAGGGGTCTAGAAGTGCCCCATCATTGGAGTCAGTGGGAGGAATAGTGCCCCATCATTGGTGTCAGTGGGAGGAATAGTGCCCCATCATTGGTGTCAGTGGGAGGAATAGCGCCCCATCATTGGAGTCAGTGGGAGGAATAGTGCCCCATCATTGGTGTCAGTGGGAGGAACAGTGCCCCATCATTGATATCAGTGGGAGGAATAGTGTCCCATCATTGGTGTCAGTGGGAGGAATAGCGCCCCATCATTGGTGTCAGTGGGAGGAATAGTGCCCCATCATTGATATCAGTGGGAGGAATAGTGCCCCATCATTGGTGTCAGTGGAGGAATAGTGCCCCATCATTGGTGTCAGTGGAGGGAATAGTGCCCCATCATTGGTATCAGTGGGAGGAATAGTGCCCCATCATTGATATCAGTGGGGGGAATAGTGTCCCATCATTGGTGTCAGTGGGAGGAATAGTGCCCCATCATTGGTATCAGTGGGAGGAATAGTGTCCCATCATTGATATCAGTGGGGGGAATAGTGTCCCATCATTGATATCAGTGGGAGGAATAGTGTCCCATCATTGGTGTCAGTGGGAGGAATAGTACCCCATCATTGGTGTCAGTGGGAGGAATAGTACCCCATCATTGGTGTCAGTGGGAGGAATAGTGCCCCATCATTGGTGTCAGTGGAGGAATAGTGCCCCATCATTGGTGTCAGTGGGAGGAATAGTGCCCCATCATTGGTGTCAGTGGAGGAATAGTGCCCCATCATTGGTGTCAGTGGAGGAATAGTGCTTCAAGGACTGGATAAAGGCAAGCAAAGAACCGCATCTGTCCCCGGGGCCACAGTTTGGAGACCACATGTCGCCACCAGCAGCCACACGTGGCAGTAATGTGTGTATTGGTCAGGAATGTATGTCACCCTCATTGGGTGCCGATAGTTTGTGTTTCCAGCCGTTGGATGTATACAATTCTTCTTCCATTCCAATCAATGACTAAACATGTACGCATGGACACGGATGTGCGGACAGAACCTGCACACCGCGGCAGAACGCAGCGCTCCTTTCCGCACGTAGACGCACAGCCACGGCATAAATGGGGCTGTAGGCCAGGAATGGGCCCCCGGGGGCAGGTGGGGGAGGTCAGCTCCAGGCAGAATATATAGACATCACACACAATGCACCCCTCCATCCATGCACCCCGTCCCCCCTGTACACAGTGCCCCCCCTCTGTACATATTGCCCCCCTCCTCCTTTACACACTTTGGCTCCTCCCACACACGCACCCTCTTTGGCACACACTGGACTAGCCCGGCGGAGTGGGCGGGGACCCTCAGTCGCTGTTTGGCGCTGTGATTGGCGGAGGGTCTCCATGGTGACAGAACGCGGACCCAGCGCCGTGCGGAGAGAAGTTTTCCAAGTCCGTCCGGCGGCGATCGGCGGAGAACAATGAGCGATACCGAGCAACCTCCGTTCCCCGGGAACACCCCGAAATATGAGCTCAACCTGGACCTCCGGAGGAGGAATGTCTTCGTCACCCAGCTGGAGGAGGCCAGGTCAGCCCCCCCTTCACCCCCAATTATATCCCACCCCCCAATTATATCCCACCCCCATTTATATCCCACCCTCCATTTATATCCCACCCCCCATTTATATCCCACCCCCAATTATATTCCACCCCCCATTTATATTCCACCCCCCATTTATATCCCACCCCCAATTATATCCCATCCCCCATTTATATCCCACCCCCCATTTATATCCCACCCTCCATTTATATCCCACTCCCTCCAATTATTTTCCCTCAAATAATATCCCCCCCATTATACCCCCCAATTATATCCCACCCCTAACTTATATCCCACCCCCAATTATACACCCCCAAATGATATCCCACCCCAATTATATCCCCCCAATTTTATCCCCCCATTATATCCCAGTCCCACCTCCAATTATATCCCCCCAATTATACCC